GGTAACTCATCATCCTGGTTTCATTAATGAGTTGTTAGATACTGATGCCTGTGGACAGGAAGGATCTCTTGTAGCGTCTGTCCTACAACGGATTTGAAGAAGCCTCTGACTGAAGACACTTTGTTGTTGTATGACAGTCTGATGAAGAGGATGCTGAGGGTTGTCTATAATGTTCTTCATTTTATGAAGAATCCTTCTTTGAACAATCATCTCCAAAGGTTCTAGAGGAGTCCCCAGAACTGAGGCAGCCTTCTTTATGAGCTTGTTGATCTTTTTTAAGTCTCTTGCTCTGGTGCTGCTCCCCCAGCAGATGATGCAGAAGAGACAGTGCTCTCTACAACAGACTTATAGAAGATATGCAGCATCTTGCTGCAAACACTGAAGAACTTCAGCTTCCTCAAGAAGTACAGTCTGCTCTGTCCCTTCTTGTAGACACTTCACTGATGAGCTTTCTTGATCTCAAGATGGCGCCAGTTACGGCCAGCCGCTTGCCACGTATGCTCTGCTTGTTTTTTGTTGTTTGTTTTGCTTTTTAGTATTTTTTGTTATGATGCCTCTGCTCTGCTCGTCTATGACTGCACAACTCTTCTCAGCCTCCGACATGTTAAGTTGCCACTATCTGGTTCTAGTAATGATTCATCACAGCTACCTCCTCACCTGTCAAACATACCGGACTATCTGCGCCGTGAGCCCTGCGCCTTTCAACCTCGGAGACGCCCGAGGAGACGCGGAAAGCGAGGAGGATTTTTGGTGAGAATTAAAGCATATCTGAAAATATCTGGCAACAATTCTGGTCTCTCTCACTATCATACAAGCAACTATCTGTATGAATGGAGACATCGTTGGATTAAATCTGTGACTCCATCCCTTCATTTGGAACATGAGACTTCATACTGGCGACGTGAAAGGAATTCCAAACGTGGCACAATAAACTTGAAAAATCTTGGCCTGCTGGCCCGCGCACCTGCTGCGGGCATCAAGGATCAGACTCTCCGAGTAGCCTTGCTGAATACAAGGTCCCTAACCAACAAGACTTTTATTCTGAATGACTTTTTTACCTCCAAAAAACTGGATTTTATGTTCTTGACAGAAACTTGGCTTCATGTTGGTGAGTCGGCTCCTTTTTCTGAACTTCTCCCTCCTGACTGCACTTTCTTCAGCTCTCCTCGGACCACCGGTAAAGGAGGTGGATTAGCCTCTGTTTTTAAATCCAGTTTTAAATGTCGGCTGATCCCCACTCATTTTTACCAGAGTTTTGAACTTCAGATGGTGGAGATAAACTTCTCTCCTCTTTTACTCTGCGCTACAATCTACCGGCCACCGAAACACAGCAAAGATTTTATTAAAGATTTTACTGATTTTATGACGGGACTTATGCTACGATACGACAGCTTTTTAATAATTGGTGATTTTAATTTGCATGTGTGCTGTGAGGCTGGACCTCTGGTCAGAGATTTTCTGAACATTATTGACTCTTTTAATCTCACACAGTCCGTCACGGGTGCAACTCATGAAAAAGGACACACACTGGATCTGGTCCTGTCTTATGGGATAAATGTGTCATCTGTGGAAATCTGTGGAGCTCTTTTATCTGACCATCTACCGGTTCTGTTCACTGCGGTGGTCTCTGGCAGGAAGGAATGGGCTGGACCATCTGTGCGTTCTGCACGCGCAATTAATTCAAACACCGCGCTGCGCTTCTCCGCAGGCTTTAATGACTCTGTCTCCTGCAACCCTCAGTTCTGCTCTGTGTCCAACGTGGACGAGCTTACTGATCTTTTTAGTTCTGTGTGCACTGACATTCTGAACTCTGTTGCTCCTCTAAAAACCAAAAAGAGGAAGTCATGTCAGCCGTGGCTGTGCGAATCCACCCGCGCGCTCAGACGCCAGTGCAGACGAGCAGAAAGGAAATGGAGTAAAGACAGACTGCAGGTCTCCCTGGACATCTTTAAAGACAGCTTGATAAATTATCAGAGAGCTGTTAAAGCTGCTTTTTTATCTAACGTAGTTTCAAACAACAGTCACAGACCTCGGGTTCTTTTTAATGTTTTTAACTGTTGTAAATCCTTGTGATGCTGCTCATGTTGCTGAATCTCCTGCACTGTGTGAACAGTTTTCTAAGTCTTTTATAGATAAAATCTCTGCTCTGAGACCCTCCTCAACACACCTTTACACAGACCCCTCCTCATTTCCTCCATCCACAGCCTCCTTTGAACAGTTTGAGCCGGTGACTTTAGTTGTTTTAAAGGACATCGTGGACCACATGCAACCTTCTAATTCACCTCTGGACTGTGTTCCCTCTCATCTGTTTAAAGAAGTTTTTAACACTCTTGGTCCATTAGTTCTTGTCCTGATCAACATGTCCCTGTCATCAGGCTGTGTTCCAGCTACTTTTAAACATGCTGTGGTGCAGCCTCTCATAAAGAAGAAAAACCTCGACCCAACACTGCTCTTAAATTACAGACCTATGTCTAAACTGCCTTTTCTGTCGAAAATTTTGGAGAAAGTTGTTTTTAATCAACTTAAGAGGTTTTTAACTGCCAACAGCATTGGTGAAAGATTCCAGTCAGGTTTTAAATCAGGCCATAGCACAGAGACAGCCCTTTTAAGAGTTTTTAATGACCTTCTTTTAACTGTTGATGCAGGAAGCTCTGCTGTTTTAGTGCTTTTAGACCTTTCTGCTGCCTTTGATACTGTGGACCACAACATCTTGTTGTCACGACTGGAGCAGGTGGTCGGTATCAAAGGCACAGTTCTATCCTGGTTTAGATCCTACCTGACTGACAGGAGTTTTTCTGTTCATTTAGGGAAATGTTCTTCATCTCCAGCTCCTCTGATCTGTGGGGTCCCTCAAGGGTCTATTTTAGGTCCATTGCTTTTTAATCTTTACATGTTGCCTTTGGGGTCCATTTTAAAAAAACACAACATCCCTTTTCACTGCTTTGCTGATGATACTCAGTTATATCTTCCGATTGAGTCAGACAGGGTCACTTCACTGGATCCACTCTTGAACTGTCTAAATGATGTTAAAGTCTGGTTAAAACTAAATTTTCTGAATCTAAATGAAAATAAAACGGAAGTCATCAGCTTTGGTAAATGTAATACCCTTAATGTGCTTGGCCCCTTGGCTTCATACAGCCACTCCAATGTCAGGAATCTGGGAGTTATTTTTGACAGTGCTTTTAAATTTGATAAACAGATAAATACAGTTGTGAAATCCAGTTTCTTCCAGCTAAGACTCATTGCCAAGGTGAAGTCTTGTCTCCCTTTCAGAGACCTTGAAAAGGTGATTCACGCTTTTATCACATCTCATTTGGACTATTGTAATTCATTGTATGTTGGTTTAGACAAATCATCTTTGCATTGTTTACAGTCTGTCCAGAACGCAGCAGCTCGTCTTTTAACAGCAACTAAAAACATGAACACATAACCCCTGTCCTGGCTTCTCTCCACTGGCTTCCTGTCCACTTCCGAATTGATTTTAAGATTTTATTGCTTGTTTTTAAAGTCTTAAAAGGTCTGGCCCCGTCATATTTATGTGATCTCATTAACATTTACACTCCAGTAAGAGCACTCCGGTCTACCAACCAGTTCCTCTTAGATGTCCCCAGATCCAAACTGAAGTCCAGAGGTGATCGGGCTTTTGCGGTTGCTGCTCCAAAACTGTGGAACAGTTTACCTGAGAATTTAAAGACCGCTCAGACTGTTGAGACTTTTAAATCTTTGCTCAAGACTCATCTGTATTCCTTGGCATTTCATCCACGCAGAGTCTGAGAACAAGTTGAGCTGATTTTATTGTTGTTGCGTGTTGTTTTTATTGTCAACTTATGTTTTTGAGTGGCACTAGATGCATTTTTACTCTTTTTTAATTTTTTTAATCTGTCTTAACTGTAAAGCACTTTGGTCAGCTTTTGTTGTTTTTATGTGCTATATAAATAAATTGACATTGACATTCACTGTTGCATTTCCAGTCCAGTCTGTTGTCCAGGTGAACTCCAAGGTATTTATACTTCTCCACCACCTCCACTTTTTCTCCCATGATGAAAATAGGGTTGGACCTGTTCCTGATTCTCCTGAAATCTACAATCATCTCCTTTGTTTTGTTCACATTCAAGATGAGATGATTGTTTCCACACCATGCCACAAGCGGTCCATCAGTTCCCTGTACTCAGCTTCTTGTCCATCTCTGATCCACCCGACCACTGCAGAGTCATCTGAATATTTCTGCAGATGACAGGAGTCTGTTTTATATTGGAAATCTGAGGTGTACAGAGTGATATAAATATAATGTTTATGTGTATGAATGTAAACAGTAGTGCAAATGTAAACAGTAGTGTGAATGTTCATTCATTCAAGGATAATGCCAGCCATCTAAACAGCTGCATCTTTAGTACTTTTCAGCAGCATGTGAACTATGTGACGAAGTCCGCACTCCAGAGGGGGCTGCAGAAAGCAGCTTATGCTTTGAACGCATCAAGGAATCTACAGAGTGAAGTTTCTCCATTTTCAGCACAACAAGCATTTTTCTCACCCATTACAAGTTCTAGTTGTGAATAATTAAACAACTCAGAGCACTTCAGGGTTTTTTTCTTCACACAAACTTCATGCTGCTGCGTCTCCTGACAAATCCAGTTCATCGTTGTAAGTGGATGGAAAATATTTTCTTATGGCTCAACCAGGACAAAATAGAGTTCTAATCAGGAAAAAAAAGACATCTTGAAATCCTGGGAATGAAACCGAGCAGTCATGCTAAAAGGTTGGGAATTCTTTGATTTTGACCTCAAATAAAATTTGTTGTTTAAACAGGATTTTACCATTTGAAATGTTTCTAGATTCCAACCATTCCTCCCTCAAGCCAACAGACCATTTGTTAGTTACTTGCAGATTGGACTACTGCTTGCTTAAGTACAAACCTAAGAAAACTACAGCAATGTTCAACATCTGCCATGAATTTAATGGCACAATTGACTCTTCAGACCAACAATTTTTTTATAAGGGACTTTATTCAACGATAGCAGATATAGATGTTTGGTCCTCTGGTTTAAAAATTAACATTTTTTATTCAGTAATCTTAAAACTTGAAACATTCAGACGTGACACCAGTGATGACCCTGCATTACAAACTGAAAGACAGATTATTTGCAAAAAGAAAAACTGGTCAGTAATTAAAGTCACCACAGAGTTTCTGGGTCTTGTTTCCTCATTTCACAAGTCTTTCCACTTACAGCATTTTGGTTGTAATTCTCAAATTATTTGAATTGAAAGAGAAATCAGTCAAAGCAGAAGGAAGGTCGTCATGACAACCGCTTCAAATGGATTCTAAAAATATCAACTGAAGGCTAATTAATGTCAGGACTTGTGACAATACACAAACAATTATGTGGAAAACTTTCAGCATACAAAACATTTTTAAACTATACGTGAAACATTTTCTCAAACTTTTTGTAAAAGCTCTGAGTGGCTTCAGGTCAGTCCGATAAAGGAGGCACTAGGTCAGAGGTCATACGACACTGACAAAGAGGTTCTTTGAAAAACTAAAAGAATCAGGAATGGCAAAGAAATGTCTGAGTTTACATGTCTTCCTCCTCCTCCTCCTCATAGTATCGGTTTTGTTTGATCATCTCCTCTACAGTAAGCACCTCCTGCTCCTCCTCTTTATCCTTAACCTCCTCGTTGTCCCAGAAGCCCACATCTTGAGATGAGTGTACGATTTCCACCTCAGGGCAGAAGATGGCCATCGGCTCTGCTGGACTCTGACATTTTTTAGACAGCTCTTCCTCTAACACATACCAGTCCTCCTCCATCTGCTCCTCATCTGCTTTACCTCCTGCAGCAGCTTTGGTCTCCCTCTCTATGATGAGCTGGTCTGTCAGGTCCTCCTCTCCAGAGCTGCTGTGTGTGTCCACACAGCTGTCTGATGACTGGCCCCCATGCTGCCGCTCCCTGCTGAAGACTTCAGGACTCATTTGCTCATCGTTCAAAGGAGGACTCTGGTTGCTGCTGCTTTGTGCCGCCAGCGAAAAGGCCAGGCTGCGTTCCTTCAGGGAGGAGCTTTGGCGCAGACAGGGCGAGCCCCGGTCCTGCTCCGGGGAGGAAGATGGAGTCTCCTCCTCTGGGGGCCATTTTGCTCTGATGGGCTTAGTGACAGAGACTCCTTCTGTGGTACTGGTGACCCTGCTTTTGCTGGGTGTGTCTTCCAGCTCCATGCGTGGAGGCCAGGAGATTTTCAACCTACCGGTCACTGCAGGCATGTCAGCTTTCTCTGGTGACCCTTGTCCCAGAGCCTCCATGGTGGCAGTCAGAACGACGACTTTGGCCAGAGTGGAGTCTTCCACACTGGGGCTTTCTTGATCTGAGGGGGAGCTCTGGGCTTTTGGTTTGTTCAGAGAGTTGGACTGTGGTGAGGCGTCCTCACTCTCTTTGCTCTCCCACAGCTCTTTGTGGGGCCGATGGCCAAAACCCTCGTCATAGTTGCCTTTGGCCTTGAAGAGCTGGCTGAAGTGGGGTTTACAGTAGACGTTGTTGTGCAGAGAGGCATAGTTTGCCAAACTGGGAAAGGGTGGGGAGAGAGAACAAGTGACAAACTGTAAAACAGGCTGAAAAAGGCTGATTTCTTTATTGATCCCAACAAACGTCAATCCACAACTTCAAAACATGTTTCTATTTGAATGATCACGAGAACAACTAACCTTTGCTAAAGGTCACTTCCTATTGTTATTGAATAATATATCAAAAATATGATTGTTTAGTTTAGCATTATTAGCCCATTCTAATATAATTATTATGGGGGTTTAATTGGGAGTGTAACAGTACACCTGGGTTTCAGGTCAGTGCATCTGTCAGTATGGAGATCACAATTTGATTCAGTTTTGGATTTAAAAAAAATAATAAAAATTTGCCAATTGCCATTTTCTTTGAGTTTTATATATTTTCACAAAACAGTTTATCCACAAGTAAAGAGAAAAACATTTCTGCTGAGGAGGATCCAATGGTCTTGACTCGGCCCTAATAATGTCAATTCTGTGTATGCATATGTACGTGTGTGTTGTGTGTGTACATATGCATATACATAATCTATATACAGTTGTCTCTGGATTCATGTGATACCTGGCTCTTACTTTTTGGGTACACAATGCGTCTTTTTATGTGTTTTGTTATTGTTGTTGTTCATTTTTTGTTTGTGTTTTTTTTGTCTTCCCTTCTCCCCCAAGTGTCTTGTCTCTCCTACTTGGGAAGATTTCATATATCAGCTAAATCAGGCAGTTCCAAAATATACATATCTCATAAATAAGTCTAATGACTAAACTGAAGTTTATCAGCTGGAATGTAGGTGACATTAACTCACCGGCAAAAAGAACCAAAATCATCTATCATCTCAAAAAATTACAAGCCGATGTACGTTTGCTACAAGAAACCAAACTATCAGACAACAAACATAGGAAATTAAAAATGTAGCATTTTAATCAAATTTACTTTTCTTCATATAATTCCAAAAAACAAGGTGGCTCAATTCTCATTAATAAAGACACACCCCCTAATCCATAAACATACTGTAACGGACTCAGATGGAAGATATATTATTACTAATGGGACAATTAATAATATTAATATAACGATCACAAGCATTTATGGACCAAATGTGGATGACCCCACATTCTATCATAATTTTTTCACATCATTACAGACTTTTTCAACAGCAGCCATTTTTATAGGTGGAGACTTTAACACAGTCATCCACCCAACAATAGACAGCTCAAAAACTCCCACCACACTAAGAACTGGCATTCAACTGAAACCATTAAACAAGGCATGACAGATATTGGCCTTGGCGATACTTGGAGGCTACAAAACCCTTTTACAAGGGAATACGCTTACTTTTCTTCTGTCCACAAACCATTTTCACGAATTGATTATTTTCTTTCTTTGAACATGTTCCGAGGGAGGTGGGGGACATTGAGTCTGAGTGGACCATGTTTCGTGCCTCTATTGTCGAGGCGACTTACCAGAGCTGCGGCCGCAAGGTTGTCGGTGCCTGTCGCGGCGGCAACCCTCGAACCCGATGGTGGACACCGTCGGTGAGGATGCTGTCAGGCTGAAGAAGAAGTCCTATCGGGCCTTTTTGGCCTGTGGGACCCCGGAAGCAGCTGATGGGTACCGGCAGTCCAAGCGACATGTGGCTCGGGTGGTTGCTGAGGCAAAAACTCGGGCATGGGAGGAGTTCGGAGAGGCCATGGAGAATGACTTCCGCACAGCTTCGAGACGATTCTGGTCCACCATCCGGCGTCTCAGGGGGGGAAAGTGGTATGCCACCAACACTGTTTATAGTGGGAGTGGTGTGCTGCTGACCTCAACTCGGGATGTTGTGGGTCGGTGGGCGGAATACTTTGAAGACCTCCTCAATCCCACCGGCACGTCTTCCACTGAGGAAGCGGAGCCTGGGGACTCTGGGTCGGGCCCTCCAATCTCTGGTGCTGAGGTCACCGAGGTGGTTAAAAAGCTCCTCGGTGGCAGGGCCCCAGGGGTGGATGAGATTTGCCCTGAGTTCCTTAAGGCTCTGGATGTTGTAGGGTTGTGTTGGCTTACGCGACTCTGCAATATTGCGTGGACATCGGGGGAAGTTCCCCTGGATTGGCAGACCGGGGTGGTGGTCCCCCATTCAAAAAGGGGGACCGTAGAGTGTGTTCCAACTACAGGGGAATCACGCTCTTAAGCCTCCCTGGTAAGGTCTATTCGGGGGTTCTGGAGAGGAGGGTCCGTCGGATAGTCGAACCTCGGATTCAGGAGGAGCAGTGCGGTTTTCGACCTGGCCGTGGAACACTGGACCAGCTCTACACTCTCAGCAGGGTCCTGGAGGGTGCATGGGAGTTTGCCCAACCAGTCTACATGTGCTTTGTGGACTTGGAGAAGGGCGTTCGACCGCATCCCTCGGGGGGCCCTGTGGGGGGTACTCTGGGAGTATGGGGTACCGGGCCCTTTGATACGGGCTGTTAGGTCCCTGTATGACCGGTGTCAGAGCCTGGTCCGCATCACCGGCAGTAAGTCGGGCTTGTTCCCGGTGAGAGTTAGACTCGCCAAGGTTGCCCTTTGTCACCGATTCTGTTCATAACTCTTATGGACAGAATTTCTAGGCGCAGCCAAGGTGTTGAGGGGATCCGTTTTGGTGGCCTTAGGATTGCGTCTCTGCTTTTTGCAGATGGTGTGGTCTTATTGGCTTCATCAGATCGTGATCTACAGCTTTCGCTGGAGTGGTTCGCAGCCGAATGCGAAGCGGCCGGGATGAAGATCAGTTCCTCCAAATCCGAGACCATGGTCTTGAGCCGGAAAAGGGTAGAGTGCCCTCTTCGGGTCAGGGAGGAGGTCCTACCCCAAGTGGAGGAGTTCAAGTATCTTGGGGTCTTGTTCACGAATGAGGGGAAAAATGGAGCGTGAGATCGATAGGCGGATAGGTGCAGCGTCTGCAGTGAAGTGGGCGCTGTACAGGTCTGTCGTGGTGAAGAGAGAGCTGAGTCAAAAGGCAAAGCTCTCAATTTACCGATCGATCTACGTTCCCACCCTCATCTATGGTCACGAGCTTTAGGTTGTGACCGAAAGAATGAGATCTCGGATACAAGCGGCCGAAATGAGTTTTCTCCGCAGGGTGTCTGGGCTCTCCCTTAGAGACAGGGTGAGAAGCTCGATCATCCGGGAGGGACTCAGAGTAGAGCCGCTGCTTCTCCACGTCGAGAGGAGCCAGTTGAGGTGGCTTGGACATCTGTTTAGGATGCCTTCTGGACGCCTCCCTGGTGAGGTGTTCTGGACACGTCCTACTGGAAGGAGGCCCAGAGGAAGACCCAGGACACGATGGAGGGAGTATGTTTCTCGGCTGGCCTGGGAACGCCTCGGGATTCCCCCGGAAGAGCTGGCCCAAGTGGCTGGGGAGAGGGAAGTCTGGGCCTCCCTACTTAGGCTGCTACCCCCGCGACCCGACCCCGGATAAGCGGAAGAAAATGGATGGATGGATGGATGGATTATTTTCTTACCAGCAACTCTTTGATAACAGATATTTCCAACCCAACTATTCATTCAATCATCATAACGGATCATGCCCCCATCAGTTTCATATTAGACAAGAAAACTGAAACAAAACAGCCAAAGGTGGTGATTCAACACATCTCTACTACAAGACAAAGAATTTGATTTATATTTTAGGAAACAGTGGTCATTATTTATGGAAACAAATGATATAATAAATACATCTCCAACACTTATCTGGGAAACAGCCAAAATAGTATTAAGAGGGAAAATAATTTCTTATTCCTCATTTAAAAAGAAAAGTGAACAAAATTTAGCAAACAATTACATAACTCATGTGCAACTACCCCCCACAGCAGAAACATTAAAGGAAATTAGAGAAACCAAAAATAAACTTGATAACATCATCAGTAAAAAGAAACAATTTATCCTACAAAGACTACGATATAACCCAACAATTTTCAGTCAGGTCATCTGGACAGTTTCTTTTTTTTGTGCCAAAAAGTTTTGCCTTCCATCCAGAAGGCTTCATCTGTCAAGGAAACACATCAGGTCATCTAGACAGTTTCTTTTTTTTGTGTGCTGAAACGTTTCACCTTCCATCCAGAAGGCTTCATCAGTCAAGGAAAAACAACTGATAATTGTTGGTTTGTATACCTGGATTATTGAGCATGGACTTTGTTGGTTTTGAACCATTTTGACACGACTGTCGACGAGGTAGAGGGCCGGCTCCGGAGGAGGGGGCGTGCCAAAGAGACTATCTTAACACCAACATAACTGGTTTGTTCCACTTTGGAGTAAGCTGTTGGGGGAAGAATCAGTTTTGTGTTGTGCGTTTCCTGGACTGATGAAGCCTTCTGGATGGAAGGTGAAATGTTTCAGCAACAAAAAAAGAAACAGTCCAGATGACTGACTGAAAATTGTTGGATTGTATACCTGGATTATTGAGCATGGACTTTGTTGACTACGATATTCAAATTCAAATTCAAAAATACTTTATTAATCCCAGAGGGAAATTATTTTGTTGTTGTAACTCGTTATCCTCATTTCATTAAGAGATGTTATAGATGCTGATGGCTGTAGACAGGAAGGATCTCTTGTAAAGGTCCATTCCACAGTGGATCCTAAGAAACTGGCTGCAGATGCCGTCCGATCCGTCCACCCAGACTCGGCTGACCTCTCAGTTCCCCTGGACTGTAGGACCGCTTGAATGCTGGGCAGAACTCCTCCCAGAGCGATGGCCACTCCTCCCAGAAGTCTGCCGAGCTCCTCATAGCTGTGGACAGCCAACTGTAGGTGCTAAGGGATGATCCTGTTCTTCCGCTGTCGTGAGCCGTGTTTCCAACTTGTTCCAGGATCTCAGTGGTCAGGCACTCGAGCACAGCTGGCAGGTAGATGAGAATGCGTCCATAGAACATCCTTTTCAACTCATTTGAGAGTTGGGGCCATAGTTGAGATATTATTTGAGCTTTTGAGATGTTATTCAGCTGCTGCTGTTGTAGAAAACTGCCTTGTTGCCATGGTTACGCATCATAACAAATGTCCAAAACTAAAAAAAGTTTCAGTAAAAATCCTTCCAGTTGCACAGCATTCTGGAGTATTCGATACCAGAGGAAACAATCATCCAAAAAATGTGATTTACATCCAGAAAAAGAGGAATTAAAGTTTCCAAAAGCAAAATCTGAGAATGAAAGTAACAGAGCTGCTCCAACATGCAGCCACCTTGAGCGGCGCAATTCTAGAATTCATATATAATTAATATAATATATAATATAATATATAATATTAATATATATAATATAATTTATAATATAACCATTATGAACATAATAAATCTGGTAAATATTTAGCAAATCAACTTAAACATAATCACAAAAAATCTCTCACTACTACAATTAAAGACTGCGGGAAATATCACCAATGACCCACAAATAATAAATAACACCTTCAGACAATTTTATCATGACTTACATAACAATAATAAGGAAAATGACTTAAAAGAAATTGATATAATTTTCAATAATATCACACTCCCATCACTAACAAAGAAACAGGCAGAAATCTTACATACATCCACAGAATATGAAAAAGCTCTAAACAAAATGTCAAACAATAAGGCCCCAGGATTAGATGGGTATCCCCTTGAATTTTACAAACATTTCTGGCAGTTGCTGTCACCAATTTTCGTTAAAATGGCAGATGAAATTAAAACAAACAGTTCATCCCATATCACATGAATACAGCACTAATTTCATTACTCCTCAACACTAACAAGGATCCCACTTATTGCTCTAGTTACAGACCTATTTCCTTAATTAACACCAATATTAAATTAATCAGCAAAGCTTTAACAACACGTATTGAATCAGTTATATCATCTCTTGTTCACCCGGATCAAACAGGATTTATTAAAGGCAGTCATTCCTCAAATAATACGCATAGGTTTTTCAACCTCAAACATTTATCCCAACAAAGTAACAATAAAACGACTATTCTCTCACTAGATGCAGAAAAAGCATTTGATAAAGTAAATTGGACATTTCTAATAAAAACATTGGAAAAAAATTGATTTTGGACAGTCATTTATTCAATGGATCAAAACCTTTTGCAATAAACCAAAAGCAGCAGTTATAACAAATAACTTAATCTCAACAAGTTTTACACTCCACAGAGGTACCAGACAAGGATGCCCACTATCACCCTCATTATTTGCACTTTTCATTGACCATTGGCAGCAGCAATCCGTCAAAACATTCATATTGAAGGCATTCATACCAATATAATATAATACATAAAATCAGCTTATATGCAGACGATGTACTACTGTTCCTACAAAACTAACAAATCAATTAAAGAACTAATCAAAGTAATCAATACGTACTCCAGAATTTCAGACTACACAATAAACTGGAACAAGTCTACCACACTGCCGATAAATGGAGTCACCAATTTTTACACATCACATATCCCTCACCTACCCCCATCTACTGGCCAGATCACATACTTAGGCATAAAATTCTCCCCCAAGCTGTCAGAGATGTTCCACCTAAATTTTACCCCTCTATTGAAAACCATAAAAGATGACTTAAAAAGATGGATGACAATACCTCTTTCAATTATAGAACGTATTAACACCATTAAGATGATGATATTACACAAACG